TACAGGCCGACAGCCTTGCATCAGAGATCGAAAAAATCAATTGTCTTATTGAAGTGCCGCTTATCTGGTAGAAAGCAAGTAGATTCTGCTTTCAGTAGCAAACTGATTTTTGGCTCTTTGTTTCGGTATGCGTTTTTTGCATCGAGGCAATGCAAAAACGCATGTTTTCGAGAGGTTATCTCTGTGTGTGTTGGCATTTTCGTTGGCACCGATTTTTCATCTCGAAACCTACGAAAGCTACAAGACTGAAACTTTGGCAACTTGATCTCTTCCTACGTACAGGTTGCTATCCTCAGAATGATCAAGCACTTCTGTGTGTTACTCACATACAGAAAAGTGAAAGTTTTGGCGGGAAAATTGCTAACTTAAGAACCAGAAAAGCTAGAAAGCTGAAGTTTAAAGGGGATGTTCTCCGTCCACGTAGAACTTAATGGCTTCAAATTCAGCTCCCAGGTGTAGTATTTCTAGCGTATGAGCCCGTAAAAGTTTTTGACGAGTAAGTTGCTAACTCAAAAACCAGATTGAAATTTAGTTTTTTCTGACAACAGTGGTGGCCAGTTTAAATTCTTTTAGCTAGAAGCAGCTGCCGGGAAAACAGGGCCGTTAGTGACAAGACCCTGGAGGGAAACTGTCCAAAAAACGCGCCTTCGCACCGGCTGTCGGTACGCTGCCCAATTATTAATTTTGCTTTCCTTTTTTACAACCTAATTTGAAAGCTCGCAGAAGCGCTTTTGTGATCAACTAGATTTTACATTTCTCAGAACGCTGCATTTTTTTCGTCTGAGATTCTCCACCATCCACCACTGCTAATTAACGCCCTAAAGTCATGCAGGCTGTTGTTTTGCGTTCATCCTGTTCCTTTCTCTTCTGCAAGCTTCCTCCAATTCGTGTAGTACTAACTTTATCACAGTTTTGTAGATAACATCCATATTATCCGTATATCTTTCACCCAGTATCAATTTCACTGCATACAGGAATGGTTCTTCCATCGCCTGAAAAACGGAGAAAATTTTATTTAATCAGCATGAGAAAATACAATTATCGAGAGACTACTGCACCAAAATAGACGATACCAAAAAAAAATTTTTTTTTGACTTGGATGTTTGGAAAGACTAGCAAAAGATTAGAAATCCCTTGACAAAAAACAGATCTTGACGCGTTGAATTTTCCCCGCAAATACTGGAAAAAGCATTTGTACAATTAAGAATTTTTGTTCGAAAAACATTACCCAAAACATCTCAGGCTTGAAAAATTTCTTGCGAGCGTGATCTTGCGCAGTCTGTTCTAACATTTCAAAAAATTTATCATCATTTTCGATGCACCTGAAAAAAACTTCACCAAAATGAATTCAGCAAATATAACAATGTTCAAAAATTTTAACGGTTTGCCCAGAGGCACTCTGCTAACTCTTGTCTGCTTCTCCCTAGAAATTTAAATAAGCAGGAATTTAACACTCTGATGCGCCCTAAGGTGTGGCACAAGTGCTATTGGAACCTTAACTTAAGCATGTGATTGCCCAAATGGACGACGAGTATTCTGGCAAAATTAAAGCTGCTGCTTTCCGGCTAGTTTTCGAGTTGGCACGGTGCTAACTGTAATTTTTGATGTGACTGTACGCGCAAAACAAGCATGCGCAGTCGCTGAATTTAAAACTTTTTACTCATACATAGATAAATAATTGGACAACGCACGGGCTGCCCGTGCGAAGATGCGATTTTTGCATAGTTCCCCACAGTTTTTGTCGCTACCGGCATCGGTTTT